ATTACGTCTTTTGTGGTCTGGAGTATGTGAAATGGAGAATAACGAATAATCCCACATAAGCACTACGTGGTCACTTCGGCCAAGGGGCGGCATGAAGGCGATCTCGTCTATGCTGTCTGGTGTTTTCGTAAAGACCAGATCCAGGCAGTTTGCCCTTTGTCCTTCACGTGTTCTCGTTGGGAACATTACGTGTTGTGTGGGGCACGCATTTAATGTTTTGCTCAACAGGCGGTAATCGAGTGCCGATTTTGGACCTGACGCATGGAGGGTATTCCAGTTTGTTCCTGGTGCGTTGAAGTCGCCCATGATCATGATTTTAGGTCGACTGGAAAATTTCTCCAACTGCTCCAATAGTTGAGTGTCGGCGATTCGGTCTGTCCTAGGTGGTCGGTAGACAGTGAGGACATCGAGACACGGGGAACCGGTAGCCTTGAGGGTCAACGAGATAGTCTCCGTACTGCACGCAAACTTGGTGTTGTTATCCGACACTGCCAGACCGTCATTCACATACACAACGATACCACCACCCTGACGATGTTCCCTATCCCTCCGATAAATTTGGTATCCAGGCAAGGCTACTTCGTTATCGTTAATATTTCCGGACAACCGGGTCTCGGTTGCTGCTAAAACACCCAGAGACAGTTTGACAAGACAAAGTTTTAGTTCGTCTAGTTTCGATATGAGGCTTTGAGCATTCGTGTACAGGCACCTCAGTTTAGCACCAGCCGAATTTCCCGTTGCATTTGTTACTGCTGTAAGCATTACTCCGTTATCGCGGACGTCGTGTTCTCTAGGCTCTTCCGTTACCTGATTGGTTTCATTTACATGCCTTGTTTCAGTCAGATCACTGGACGCTACGGGCTCCCTTGTGTTGGCGCCTTGATCAGGTGGTTCAACGAAGGTGTCTGTTTTAGCTGAGTAGCTGTCGTCGTTCGTAGTATTACAGGCTGGTTCCACTGAAACGGCATATATTTCCGAACTACCTTCCCCTTGAAGATAGCCAGATTGTGTTCGCCATCATTCAGTCTTGATTTTAACTCCAAGACAAGTTCCCGGCGTTTCAAACGTTCCGCTGGTGAATAGTCCGGTTGAAAAAAAACCTGTTTGTGTGTGTTTCTGAGATCGGTTTTTTAGAGAGGATACACTTGATTTGCTCTTTGTTCTCCAACATAATTTTGAGAGGACGAGGTGGTTGTGCTACTGTCCTCTCTTCCTTCCTTTTTCCTATCCGGAATGCTTTCAGAACCTTTATTTCCATGTCTGCCGGCAGTAAATGATTTATCAGACCATGAAAAGAAGCAAGGTCCTCTGAGACACGGTCTTCAGGTCTGACTGCATTCGATTCTGACAAACCCTGAATAACCAGACACTGCTGGCGAGCATGGTCCTCCTTACTCTGTCTTTCCGGTGATTGCTCTGCATGTGGGCGAGGACGATTTACGGAGTCGTCGCTTGGACGCACACTTTTACTGTCTACCGACTGTCCCGAGCAACCCATCAGGGCTGGATGTGACTTCAGAATCCTTTCATGGCGTTTCCCTCTCCCATCTACCCACGGGTTTATGCCTTCGCACTCAGATACGTGCTCTGTAGTGCGCTCGGGGTGGTTGCCAGAACAAGAGGGCAACAGTAGACTGGATGACCCAGGTATATCGACTCCAGGCAGAACGGAAATCCCATCACTTACAGCAAGAGGCTTAGGTGAGATGGCTTCCGCGACATGTAACTTTTTTGCGACATTGCTTAAGACATCGTGCGTGGGAATCGAGTCTCCCTTTATCGGCGGCTTCATTTTCATTGTCCTGCTGTTACCGGCGTCTGAGGTTTTGGCTGTTGAGTTGCTACTCGTGTTTGAAGATTCCCCCGAGGAGATATTTTTTCGCGTTTTTTGCGTTTTGCTCTTCGTTTTTGGGATTCTAACACTGGACACGTTATGGCCGACTACGGTCTGTTTCACGAGCGTCCTTATATCAGCAAGCTCCTTCTCCAGTTGTTCTACTTTGATTTGAATATCTGCGCACCCACCACAAGGCTCGTCTTCGTACCTCACACTTTTTGCGGTATTTACGCTTTTTGCACGCTTTGCTGGTCGTTGTCTGGAGGCGAAGGTAGAGCGAGCATAGGTTCTGGATGCGAAGGACAACTCACCGGACTTATCTTCCAAATAGGTGCCGTCGCTGGCCGGACTACTACAGTTAGCTTGCTGAGAATCCATAAACTTCGACGTGATATAATAGGTGTAATTTCGCTTTCGATGTTATAACGAATACGTCGGCTTATATATGATGAATTAAAGAGAGTAGTCAAAACTCAATAAGCGAAAAAATGCTTAAAATCCGATAAATTTTGTTGAATTTAATCAGAAGCGACTTAGCTCTTTCCAGATCTCGTAGTACTTGAATAACTGCGGACCTTGAAGGATTTTGAGCGATTGGTTTTCTAGGCTGTATATCCGCGAATCGGTTGCGTAGCCAGTTGCGTTGTCAGTTGGCCCGTGCTGATAAAAAATTGCACATAATCCAGGTTCCTGGCGAATTTCGATGCGTGAAAAAATATTCCAAAAATGCACAAAGTAATTCTGTACGTACGGTTCCAGTATCAATGTCAGAGACTGTAACTGTGGAATGGTAAGCAAGTCGAAATTGTCCCAGTTGAAGCGCAGAATAATTCCGTCGTGCTCAGTTGGGCTCAGTTGTAGTTGTCCGAGGAGGTAGTCCTGAGAGTGTGGAGAGCAACACAACAAAAGTAGCCATAGGACTACAAGAAGAACATACAGTATTCAGATTTTGCTGTTGGTCGGCAAACAATGGCTTAATAATGGGTCCTTCTCAAGAAACCGGCCAAGACAAAGAAATCATGGAAGTGAAGTGGGACACACCATACATTTCGCCAACGCAAAGGCCAAATGCTGCGTACTCTACGAAACTAATATTGAACAAAGAAAACAGTGGTTGTCAGTTTACCTTGATTCCTGCCGCATTTGACTTACATTTTGCTTCGGCTAACATACTGTCCAGTCAGGCTCCTACATCCGGATATTTAAAGGTCAATTTATGTCTTTTTATTTGGCAAATAAAGCTTTCATCCTTCATCTCTCCATTAAAATCTGAGAAACAAATAACCTCAACTTTTACAGCAATAATTCTAGAAGAGAAATGTCCTCGGTATTTGTGAGCCAGGCGCAAACTGGCGTGCTGACACAGTCGTAATTAGAGGCAGAGTGCTATTACCGAGAAAGAGCAGAGAGACTGGAATGGCCATTTTGGCTTATTAGCCGTCTTCAGCCAGTCAACCCAATCCAGAGGTGTGGAACACCTTTGGCTTGATCCCGCGACATTTTGGCTAGAAGTCAAACGCCTCTAACCACTGAGCCACCGGCTCGTTGTCCTTCCGGTTTCGATCGGGAATGTGCAATGGTAGAGGGACACTCACCGATCGTTCTTACGGAACTCACTCGTTCCGTGATTACATTTACAGTTGTTTCTACTCCAAAGGATATCTAATCTGCGTTTATGTGCTTAAGCAGTCTCTGAAAGGACCCTGGTGTAGAGGAGTCCGCCCCATTTTATAACAACTCACTGCGGGAAGGCGTTCATTCTGACTCTCGTATAGACCAACTTTCTCTGCAATTTACGGGGATGACCACGCAGACGGACCGTCCCAGCCGATAAGAAATAGTCGTCAAATTCTAGGACACACTAAAGGGCTCTGACAATCCGGTAGGTTTAAACGAAATAATTACGCAGTTACTTGTAATTACAAGATTTTCAGCCGCCACATAACTCTCTCCTGCGCTTTTTCCGGCAGTTTCTATTCCTTCTGGAGCTACGGACGCCAGGCCTGTACGGCACATTCCAAATAAGACCAGACGAATGCTCTGTGGGTTTTGCTAAACAGTTCTTTTCCAACATGTATAAACACTCGTCTTGGCGCAAAGAAAACCTGTGTTGCTTGTCTAGCTGCTCTTAAACAGTGTGAGGGCTGTTTAAGCGAGGAGGTCACCAGAACCCCGAGGTCCTTCTGTTACTCAACATATGAAAGGGATTGCCCATCAAGGAATTGTCGGAAAGCATAAGGTTTGTCGTTGTCCATTTAGTACGAGGTCTCAGGATTACGCACATACCAACATTAAAATCTAAGAGCTAATGAGCATTTGTCGGCGAAGAGATGTTCATGGACTGTAGTTGCGGACAGACTCGACTGGAAGTGCATCCGTCGCTGATTGAGGAGTTGACCGTCCGTTCTGTAGGCGGCGCGGATCCCTGGGCGTTCGTCACGACAGGCGTCCATCTGCACGGCAGAGAACATGGGACTGAAGAGGGTAGGCGCGCACGCAACCGTGCTCCACTCCGTTGGTCACAGCGAATGTCGCAGAGTAAGCTCCATTGTCTGTGGCTTGCGCCATCAAGCCAGTGTGGAGCTGACGCACCATCTGAGTGAACCATTGGGGACAGCCGAATACCTGCGTGATTTTTCACAGTCCATCGCGATTCACCGCGTCGAAGGCTTCCGTCAGATCCATGGAGGTAAAATAGAAGTGGGTCCGTCACTCTTGGCTCTTCTCCTGGATCTGGCGAGCAGCAGTTTTCATGTCGGTGATTGCGCTGCGTCACCGGGGTCCACACTGACTTTCCCAGAGAAGCCCTTGTTTCAGGTGAACCCTGAGGCGGTTGAGGAGAACGGGGGCAAAGATCTACCTGGGAATAATGAGCAGCAACATTCTTCTGTGATTGTCAAAGATTTGGCGGTCCTCTTTCCGCTTGAAGAGGTGAACCATTTTTGTGTCCCTGAAATATGTCGGACAGAAATTTGTTGCCTTCCATTCGGATAAAAGTCTTAAAAATTCAAGTGACAAATTTAAGATAAGCATCAGTGGTTTGGAGAGTTCATCTGTCAATATCTTTAAGAAATATGCCGGTATATTGTCCGTACCCGATGACTTAGCTTCGTTAAGACTTTGCAGCTTTCTTTTTTCAGGAGTCGCTAGGAGGGGTGTAGACTCAAGTACCGGCTCAATCCGTCTTCCCCTTCTGTTTCTACGGGGTCCTGGACTGAGTCTTTAGACACCATCGTGGATTTGGAGACGCTACACGTAAAAGTTCTGTTATTTAAACCGAACTCAGTACGCATCCAGCAATGTTACAGCTTCAGCTGACAGAGGACACACAGCAGCAAGAGTCGGTCAGAGGCGCATATGTTTCACGTATATCTTGGTTAGGAGACTCAGGATATGCATGTTACTACTAGGACCTTCAAACTCCTGAATAATAGAACATATCTCCCCATGGATCATCGATGGCGTTTCGCTCAAGCCAAGCGCTGGGGCACTTTGCGTAGATCTAAAACGGATACTGCTAGCTGAGACTTCAAAGCTTCATGGGAGTCTGGGGCGCTGCGTAAGGACAGGAATGCGGTAAAAGAACATCAGTAGTGTTCTAGGCAAGTTTTATTTGCATCTAATGAATCGTCAAATTCAGCAAGAATTTACAGTTCGAAGGCGTTGTAGCAGCCGCTGAATTGTCCCCTCTCACGGCGTCTGTTCGTCCGTCAGTGACTGCTCATTCGGACGTCCGACAGAACGCCTTCTCTCACAGGGTCAGTGGGGCATGGAACGGACTACCTGATGCGGTTGTTCTTTCCGAAAGTGTCGAATCTTTTAAGTGTAGACTAGATGCTCATTTGTTGAAAAACTACTGTACATATAATCACGATTGTTTTAGCGGCGGCAGTTTGCTCCTGGCTCACCCTTACCGCTAACTTTTGAACTTTCCGCATTTGATAATGTAATTGGTGACTTTATTTTTGCTTATTGATATGAATAGGGAGTTCAAGGGCAAAAGCCTCATTCCCTTAATAAACTGACTTAACCGCGCTTACCTACAAACACACTGCTGACGCATGATCACCCATCAGGTCTGAGCTGGGACGTCTCTTATTCAGTTGTAGTGAGTCAGGTCTGCGCGCACAAACTGCCTTACGCTCATCGAACAGTCTGGCTTGTTACCCGCGTGCACTTGTTATCATGTCACCCGAATATGACCCTAAATCAACAAATTACATGTTCAACACTCGGTTAGGCACTCCCTCGCGCAGACGCGGGCATATGTCATCCGTGTAAATGACACTCCACTATTGACGCTGTTCCAAACGGATGCTTTACTCTGAAACAAGCAAACAACCAACTCGTGGAAGCCTACCCCGTGTGCAGAATAAACCGTTTCTTACAATTCCTTGACACCTGATACAAGGCGAAATAAAATTATCGTGTGAGGTTACAGTGGTTTTACATCCTTGATAGCCGCTGGTTACTAAATCACCAACGTCAAGACTGCGTGCAATAAATATTGTTAACAATTTTTGCTCGTCATTTTACCGGACTCCTCCGCTATATACGTTAAGTATGCAGTATACAGTGCTAAAAACCATTTGCTTCGTTTTATTAAATAAGTCTCCCGTTATATTATATTAGAATTTCTAAAAATAATGCTTTCATGACGTCTCAGGTTTTCCTGTCTCAAAAGGTAGCTTTATTTCCCAGTGGATCCCACCAATACTTGTTTGTGTAGTACAGTGCCTCAGTAGATAATGGTAACATCTGCACAAATTAAGAGCCCCGACAGCTTTTATTTTCACTTCTTTTATTTCCAACAGTTTAATTTTCCTCCAACACCGGTTTCCTTTATATTATAAAGGCTAGTGAGTGTAACCTTCATTTAGGAGTACACTCAGGTTAGTTGCCCTAAATGGAAGTTCAGCCATTCAAAATATGACGCATTTGGAAGCAGAAGCCATTGATTTTCATCCTTATATATTAGGCGTTATTGAATATTAAACCTCCCCTCTAAGCTGCCATCCGCATTTGCTATTGACAGCCCTAGTTATACCGACGGGCCCGTATTAACAAACGTAGCTGGTATTTTCTTCGTATTATTAGAACGTTTCAGTCGAACTGCCTTATGATCCGAACATTTAGTCATTTCTTGTAAATACCTGTTTCTTTCCATTATCCTCGTGCAAATGGAAAGACGTAATTTGGCTGAACATATGAGCATTGTTATCCTGGCAATGAAAACCACTTCTATAAACCCCTAACAAAGGTCAACGGGACTCCATCTGACGTCCAAATAATCGTAGACCAACTCACTTAGTCAGACATTGACAAGGATACAAGTACCCCCTCTCAGACTCCAGAAAATTTTGGAGATTATTCGCCTTTCAAGTTGCTCTCAACCATTTCACTCAGCGACCATGTACGACAGTGTAATAGATTCAGTTTAAAATAATGGGATTTGTAGCGGCTAAGCGGTAATGGCGTCTGCTCAGTGCGCCACAAACTCAGGACATATCCCAGGTTGTAAGAGGCCGGACGCCAGTTGAGAAGAAGATTATTTATTTCGTACAGAATAATGAACGAAAGTTGGCAAACGGACCAGGGTGCCTCCGGCTCCGCGGAGGCGGCATCCGCGAGGGCGACGAGCCGTGTGTCGCCGAAAGCCGCTGCTGCAAAAGTGCCGTGGCAGATTGTTTACGCAGTGGTCTGGACTGTGTCCGCCGGTGGCGAACCAATCAGCGAGATGAGTTGCGTTGATTGGCTCCGAGCCCACGCGAGGGTAGTGGTAAGCCTCGCATGATGCAGACAGAGAATCGACCAGATGCGTGGTGCAGACAGTGAATTGCAACGAGACAAATCGAAGCCGTACAGACGTGCGTGCCGTAGCAGGCTGTCGGTAGGGCGTAGTTGCAGACACTAGCGAAAAGCGCGACTTTTCCATTATCGCTGTCCTCAACAGATTCAGTCTATATTTGTGATTTTCCATCGAGCCCGTTTACAAGTGATCACGCTTTGTTTAACTTCTGTTTTTAGTTTCCATTTCTGCACGCCATTGACAAAACAAAACTAACTTGACTCTAATCATGCTAATAAGGGATTAGCATAAACTTTCACAAGAAATTTAGATCGTCACAGTATTTTCTCTACAAATGACCAAACTGTTGCCCACGATATCTTGGCGCACTGGAAAACTTCATCAACTTTACAGCCATTCTTGGTGCCATTTTTGAAGGAAAAATATCGACACTTACTTCTCAGAAATGTTGGAAATTCGTGGCCTATATTGGCCTTGCTGTTAGTGAGGCCGATGACAGGCAGAAAGGAAGTCTTAACTTTGTTTTGAAAAAGTGCTTCCAAGAATAGACAGCCCCTTGTTGTCGCCTCCCATTTCCATAATCCTGTGGTTTTAACTCCGAGGATCTAAGAGACTTTCGCCTGGGGGCAAAAATCCTTCCATTTTGGTCAAACTAATTTCACCAATAGAAGTAGGCTTTAGTCCCTCTAATCGGGAGCGTTCAGCTGAATATCCTAGAAAAAATCAACTTTTCAGTAGCCGGGATAAAGCTCAAATGGAGCTTAATTTTCTCCTCATCAATAAACAAATAGCCTTCTGCAAATTATTACCATTTGAAACTCGTCTCCGAGGTTGGCCGTCCATCTAGCGATAATAACCTTTTCTCTGTATTTCCAGCAGTTTTATTTGCATCTGATTCTTCACCTGACCACATTGTCCCTGTTTTATGTGAAGCCTACAACTTTGTAGCATCTTTAAGAAGCGGCAATCACCCAAAAGATGCTCGCAGTTTTGCCAGGACGGTTGGTGTTAGCATTAGTAGTTGGCAAACTCCAAATTTATCGTCGATGTTCGAGGCACAGAATAGTGACGTGGTTCAAAAAACTGGGCCAAATCCACCTCATTCCTATGTCCGGCCAATTACGCCTGACCTAGTGGTGTAATCGAATAAGCCGGATAATACTCCAGGGAAATCTTTGTCTGTCCCTAACCCAAATTCTTAAATTCAGGAAGGCATTATGGTCAGGAAACCTGATAAAACAACCGCGTCTAAGATACATGCAAACAATGCAGTTGGTGGTATTCCAAACCAGATAGCTTGCCAGACCCCCGAATAATTGAGCCTGCTCAAGTTGGTAATAGTTTTTCAAAACCGTTTAGTCTGTTTTGTAGTATAAGTGTCCCACCATATAATGTTAATCTTTCCTGTATTTTTACAACCTCACACAGATGCATTTCTCCCTATGAATTCAACCCTAGCTTGTATACGTGCAATAATCTCTCTGTTATTGTTGATAAGGTCTTCAAAAATTGTATGTTGCAGAAATTTTGCATTCTCCTTCTTATTTTACTCTTACAAGTTAATTTTCCGCCACCGACTCTTCATTTTTTGTAAACAGCGATGAGTGTAACATGCATCATAGGAATACGCTTGGTGATGTTCCACTGAATGCGAGATCAGTCGTTCAAAGTATGGCCTGGTTTATGACGGAGCCTTTGAATTTGACCCAGTTGGTTTGTGCATTAGGGAATCTCGAGCTCATTCTTTAATTTTCGACTCGGCGTTCACTATAGGTGATCTCAATGTATGCCGGCAAGACCGCGTTGAACTACGTGGCGGGAGTTGCCTTTTTATATCAGAGCCTCACTTGTTCATTGGCCCTACGATCTGAGCATTTCTTCTTCCTCTGGAGATATCGGTTTCGTTTCGATAATCCTTACGCAAAATAGGGAAGCCATAGTTGGATGTGTATGTAATCCTTCTTGTTACTCCGGAAAAGAAAGCCACTTCTGTGAACTCTTTGAAAAAATCACAGAAACTTCGTTCGATGCCCAGACAATCGTAGGCGATTTTCATTTGCCAGAAACTGGCTGGCATACACATACCTCCTCTCTTAAATTTCAAGAGCTTCTGGATACCATTAACTTTTCAAACTAGTCTCAATTAGTCCACTCTTCGACCAGAAACGATAGTACATCAATCTACTGTTTAATAATAGCATCGACCCTTCATTTATAAATATAATTAATAATTATTTTTATTAAAGCACCGTCGGGGTCCCATTAAAGCAAGTAAAAATAAATTTACATGCGAATTTTAGACAAGGTAGGCAAAATCTGTACAAAGTGCAATACACAGTTTTTGAAAAAAACTCCATAACCCTCTCCACAACGGTGTCGGAGAATTGACACAAGCAAATGAGAAGAAGTAGTTTACAAATAGCAAACAATGTAGAAAAAATATAAGAAAAGTATGCACAATCGTAGTAGCTATCAGACGATGTGTAGAAAGGGTTTCTTTGTCTGCAGCAAGTTCCTAAAAAGGGGGCAGTAAATGTAGTGTTAGAGCAATGAGTAAAAGATGAGAAAGTTAGAGTTGACTGCTGGGCAGGCGTAGTAAGCAGTGAAATAACGCGTGATTTGAAATACTCAACAAAGAGGTGCCTTAACGCGTTAAATGATGACAATAATTCATTGTTATAATTTTGTCGCCGTAGAAGGCTTGCTGGAGTAAAAAATAATCTCTCGGTTTAGAAGACCCTAACTTTTACCATAGTATAAATTTGGCAAGCATCAAAAGTAAATAGAAGGAATGCTTTGTTTAAAATGGTCATTTCATGGTCAACTGGATTGTTTTCAACCAGATATTACGAAAGACCCCTAATCGAGGAAAATTATACTACTCAAGTAATTACAAGTTATTATATCACGAAATGCAACTCTGTTTGTTTTTATCCCCTGAACCCATTCTATGCCTTTTACCACATACCTTGTAATCAAATATTAGATTAGTAGTGGACACGAACTAACGTTAACGTACATTTTAAAATTCAGACTTTCGGTGTCCCCGGACGGAGATAACGTTGGAAGGAGTTCGGTATCGGCGATCTCCTTTGACACCTAAATGTGTCGCTGAGAACAAAATACCTACGGTTGACGTACTTTCCCGAGGTTTTCTTGGCGTCTTGCGCTGCCACCGCACCGACCTCTTGACTCACGAAACCAATCGATTGCACTTCTTTAAATTAACTCCTTCGAGCAGTTACTTAAGCAGGTATTTTGCCGAATGGTCTCTGTAATGTTATAAAAAATAGACTCGCGACCGGAGAACGAGCGTTTTTTTTATGTAAAACCACCTCATCGGAAGTTGAGACACGAGGGTGGTCCTAACAGAGGTTGCCAAACAAACTCCTCCGTGCGTCCCCCCAAATTAGAAGGCTGCTTAACCTGTTAGATGGAAATAGTTAATTGGGCGAGGGTATGGATTGTCCCCGGGGTCAGCAAAAAATAAACTTAGGACTCCGTCTAACAGGAATGGTGGTAATAGGCGTTATACAGGTGAGGCCATCGGACGCACACAGAAGGAAATCAGGAAATTAATAAAGACAAAAAACACAAAATAATATGGAAAGCATTTTAACGTGCTTTGAATGTAAACAGTAAGTAAGCGCACAAATTCAAAAAGCTAACCAAAAACGGTAGTCAGGGTAATTCAGGCAAATGAATAAACCTCTGTGAACTAAATAACGGAAGCTCAGGTTCCAGGGGAAATAACAGCCGATTGGAGTTGGCTGCAGGCGGTTATCAGACGTGCAAATGCCGCAGGTTAAGACCCATGCCAGGAGACGTTATAACCGTCAAGAATTTGCTAAAGATACAAAGCAAAGAACAAGAAGGAAGTGTGACAGGGTAAGCTAAGTGCAGTGAGAAAAATTAAAAAGGAACTGCAGATCTAATAATGTAAAGGGACATGGCTTACAAGCAGATAATTAGGTATAGTAATGGAAATAAGTCATGGTAAATATCGCGGATTTCGTCATCAAAAAGAAATTCTCACCCTGATTACTGAAACACATAAAGGCAGTCCGTCCATGTAGATATAAACATAAATATCTGTAAGTTAAAGGTAGTTGCAATAGTAGGAAATAGCGACAAGCCGTAGGCTAATTTCTTTTTTAACACAGACCACCGCATACCAGGGTCGAAATTTTGTGAACAAAATCAAAGGCCGCCATACCAATGCAATTTAAGTGTATTGGAGCCGCCTGAAAAGAAGATTACACGAAGGCGGCCCTGTGTTAGGCTGAACTGTCTGGGCCCACACTGACAAGATACAATATCGTCTATGGTTTTGACTCAACGCTGCTGGCCTGAAACAAGCGTGAGAAACCTTCCTGTACCACATGGCGGAGGTTTACCCTGTGAAGCAGCCTAACAATTGATAATCCTATGGAACTGGTTCAAAACAGCCAATTCTCTTAGCTGTAAAATGGTCTTATGTATAAAGTAATCTAAAAATATTCAGTTTTTGGAATCTCGTTGATCGTGGGCAAAACCTTCGCGTGAAATCTAATATGTCCGGGTTGGGGGCACGCTAATGAGTCTATATAGACATTTCTGTCGCGCCTGGTTCTTGGGACGATTGCCTGCAAGTCCACTATCACTGGCCTGTGAAACACGCAGGTTAAGCCTGGCTGGTACATGGGAGAAACGTAATCGAACGGCACCCACTTAAGTAAACGTAGTAGCCATTCTTATGTACTATTAGGCCTACCCTGGGAACAAACCATACCCTTACCAAAGTCTTCTTTCAATACCCCCACTGGATACACTTTACTACTATTTGACGGGCGTTCGTTCCTCTCTAAGACGCTTGTGCACTGTTTGTCAAACCGTGACCACATTACACATCTCTTGTCCACGGACCAAGAGCTCTCCATGACAGGAACCGTACTGTCGTTCATGAATTCAACAACTGAGTACACCTGCCGGGCCAGTGTACATTCTCAGTCGTGCAGGCATCAAAATGCGTAGTTAGAAAATGCATAGTAAACATAAAACTACATGAACAATGTGTAAATAGAGGATGAGGCCTAAAGTCACCGGAAAATGTCGTTTTGCATCAAAGGTATGCAACAGGGGAACAAGGAAAAATTCATCGTTAATTTTAAAGGGAACGTGTTTACATACAACGTCCCAAGGGGCAGCAGTGGTGAAAGTGTACGCCAAAACGGAGGCTTTAAACATAAAAAACGTGGAAGAGGACACGGACGTTGTAAACAATCTCGGCAGTCTATAAATGGGCGTTAATGTATTTCGGTAGCCGACATAGATGTCAGTACGCATGATCTACCGCCGATGAGAACCACATTATCGGGCGCGTCCGTGGACAAAACATACCCGTTATGTAAAATAGCGGCCGATCCACGGGGTAACTATAAAGACCGTGCGACTCCTTCACCGTCTTCCAATAGCACGGAAGATGTTGGCAACTCAGGCAGACGTCGCTCACTATACTGTCTGCAAACATGTGCGGCGGCTTTAATTGGTCTTTTTATGAAGCAACTTTAGCATGACACTCAGGCAGACAAGGTGCATATAATCGATTGAAAATCAGGCAACCATATCAATAGGCAAATCTTCGAATGATAATCTGCCCTTGTGATGCGGCGCCTGACTTTGCAATCCGAATGACCTGTCGTCCCGCAAGTGTCCACTATACGTTGGAAATGGCATGCGGCTAGCAGTGGGCCTGCCTTCGTGAAAACACCTAGAGTAGTTGCTGTTACTCTTACGAAATAACCTACCTGTCGCATTCGTAATAGCCATTATGGGCTTTCACCTGCCTGATATAAGACCGGGCAAGCGTGTCGCAGATGACATGGTCGAGGACCACCCTGACAAGATCATCATTTGGTGGAAGAGCCAGACCAATATTTAGGAGGTACTTCAGTTCAGACACGCAGTCCTCCAAGAAATACTCCAAGGGGTCAGGCTTGCCATATCCGAAGAAAACGCTGACAACAAAAGGTTGGCCAACAACCGGACGGCTAAGACGACTAAGAATAGGACACAGGCGTTGAGTGGAACACTTTAAAATTTTCCTTCCGTCAGTGTGCAATTGAACGCAAATCTCCTGAATTCTGGTTGCCGGTCGACGGGGCAGCTCGTCCAGTCGACTTCGTCAAAGCCCCAAATGGACATAGCACCCATTCTTCAGGGGCTTGCTAATGCATGATCGTGAGGTTTGCAGTAGCGTCCGCGAGTCGATGGGTACGTCTGGATGGTAGGGTCGTAGCATATTCAACAGTTTATTCACAATGGAAAGTGGCAGCTGCACGTCAAGGCAGAATACTTGCAAATCTGCCAGAAAACAACTGCCTCCAGCTGGGTTTGTACTAACCGCCTCATCAGCTACCTCTATACCCATGGTTTGGGTACACACGTAAACGACCTACTCGTAGGAACTTCTGAATTCAGAATAGGCATTTGCCTTTCAGGCGAATCATACGCTACCGCGTATGATGCTGATGGGAAAGAGCACTGGGATCCATCAACGACGGCATTGTATGCTTGTCGCACTTAATGCGCTTGTAGGTATGCTCCGATGGTATCCGAAGTAGTTACGTTTCATATTTGCTTTCCATGGACAGTAGAAAAGTAATGCATAATGGGTTTACGTGAGGTATAAACTTGCAGACTTTCTCCAGAGTTACCATTCCACTGTTAAACATAACTGGCACCCCAGAACTTTAAAATTAAACAGTAATCACAATAATTAGAATTTACAAACATAAAAAACATTGAAAGAATTTGATTTTACGTACCCCTGTTGCAACAACTGTTTGAAATGAATAGGCAATCGACGAACGAACGACGTTTACCAAGCAGCTTACCCAGCAGATAAGGGCTCCACATGTGACCCACTAAGACAGAGCCCCGTTTTTAATAATAGATGAAAGGAGCGCTCGAGAAGGCTTCAGCGGCAAATCTATACGTAAGTGATTATTTATTTAGGACTAATTTGTTTATTTTTGCGGTAAAGTAGACTTAAGTACGCGGTATATTACTTCTCTTTAATTCGTGAAACATGCACTAAATCGTGGGGACATGTCCCTTACCAACCCCCTCCAAGCCCCGCCTACCGAGATGGCCACGTGCAGGCAGGGAAATTAAGTCTTTGTTGGGTGTTCATCCTTCCCATTCTCGAATATTGCTGCCCATTATTTAGTTTAATGAGGGAGACTAGTCATTCTGAGGCTGAAAATATTCAATAGCATTTTTCTGGGGAGGAACTGAGTACGACACCTCCAAACACTTCCTACTCAAATAGATGTCATAATTTAACCTAAAATTTTTATGGGTTCGGGGACTAGAGGCCGGCTAACGTCATTTTTCGCATTAGTAATAGTTCAAAGCTTACTCAGATTTCAGCGCTTGCCCTCTGTTACTCGTTCACACTGCTCTCGTAATTCTTCCTTGATTGCAACTCCTCCCTCCTCCTCCACCCCTAAACACCCTTTTCTGCTCCAACGTATATATTTATTTGAATAACCTGCCAGTCAATACTAGATAGTCAACTTGTCTATACGCTTTCAAGAAAGTGAACTCGCTGGAGCGGTGCGCCTCAGACTTTTGTCCAAATTTGAGATGGCAAGCACGTCTTTTGTTAGGAACAAGCAATTTTGGACAACTGTCTGATGCGTCTTTATCTTTGGGTGCTATTGCACTATTTTTGTTTACTCCTCATCTGGCAAATCGGGGGTTCTGCGTCTAAACGTAACAGGCTTCCCGATATCCGTGGAGATGCTTAGTCTCTCACGTAGATCAGCCATTGCATCAAAGTAACGAAAAGCACTGCTTTTGTTCGAGCACTTCCCGACCTGGGCAGCATCTGAGATTAAAGTATGCTCCTTCCAGTTTTAAAACTCCGCCGTGGTCAATAATTGCGGATGTGGGTCAAAAATATGCATCCGACTAAATGTACTCGCCCTTCTTCTGTTCACTTGCGGTCTCTCCCACCTCCGGTCTTCTTGACTTGGTCATGGCACCGGGTCAAGTTGTGGGAGGAGAGGGTGCGGTGAATGCTGCGTAAGGCTACCACCACTATGGACTAATTCACGCGGAAGTCACCGTATCTACTGTCCCTCAACTGTGGAGTACATTATGGACACCGTCGAAATCGGCAGCCGAACTGTCAGTATGCTTTTAAGAGAAGACTAAGCCCATATTTTAACATTGACTTGACTAACCCTTTATTTCCTTCATCCTTACCGAGAAGGTCTATCCATGACTTGAATTAAGGACCATCGGGCATTTGGGACGTTGGCGCTGCCAAATTACCTTATCGGCCCAAATTTCCCTTTTCGTGTGCAATTTCGCTTTCCACGACCCCTCAGCAGGAACCGCAAGTTTTTTCAATTCACACATTGCATCCTTTGCATAACGCGATGCCCACCTTGACCGACCCCTCAAAGGAGTAATTGAGATCAGACTGATGTGCACGAAGTAGACCATCTGTGCATCGCTCGCCACAAATCCTCATCAGGATTTTTGTGTGGTCTCTGGAAGACCGAAGTCTCACCCCAGTTGTCGAACTCACGCTGGGTCTGTCAATATATAACATCCCCTGACACACTATAATGATGCTTAGTTCTCACCTACTGGTTTGTCCTTGTAGTTTTATCCTAGCTTTGGGAATAACCTGTCCTGCTCCTCCATATCCCTCCGAGAAGCAGTTTTTCTCCTAAATGTTATTCGAAAATGAAGGCTCCCTAAACACACATTTCATTTTTAAATTTTCAAGAGTTATTCTTTCGGAACTCGTCATTTGTTTCCACAAAACACTTGCAGTTTGAAATTTGCGGATGTCATTATTATCAAGAGTGTCGCATGTGAAACGCAAATCACCGGCGGACGCGAAAAAGTTGCCAAACTCACAACACAGTTTCTAAATACTGCCTTCCACCTGACAGCTCAGGCAGACCATTACTATCTACATTGTATTTTTTATCCAATTAACTCAGATAACTTTGTCTGGATAGTGCCCTGTAGGTTCCAAAAATAAAATTGATAACGCTCTTATTTTTATCCTTCTTATGGTAAAAGGGAAAGGATCAAAAAATATCCAGCGGTATCAAGAATAAGGGATGAACAAAATTTCAATTAAGGGTTTTATTTGGGGTTATGGAGGGGTAATATCCACTGGATCATACTTAGTGTTTGAAGGGGTTTCGTCATACTCGATTGAAAAACGCCTAAAGATGGCACTGAGTTCGAATTCACGGTTCTTGCCTCTTTTCTATCACTCCCAAACGTGCCATTTTAAATAATTATAAGCCTATGAACTCTTACAACTTCACTTATGCACCGCCCTCATCCGTAGCTCTTGGCAGCAGATCTAAGAACGTTTTCAAAGGCTTATTTGAACGTCAAGATTACCTTAATTGATCTTAGAATAGGACGTTAGTGGTTACTTCAAATTTTGGTGTGTGACCATTGTTTGGGTAAGTCGCACCCAGTTACTATAGTCGAATATAGCGCGTCTTTATCTGAGTTATTACGCCAACTGTGTCAGAACAATTACCGTAGGCATTTTGTACGAAAAGATTTAGTCATGGCAGACGGAGTTTGCCGGTATGGAGTGGATTTGTTCACTATGCACAACTGGCGAACAAAGGGTATAATTTAGGGGAGTTTCTGATGATCCGCCTCTTGACTAATTTAGTTGCTGTTTACTTTTATTATCTGTAACCCACAATTAGGTTCACAGTTATGCTCAGATTTAGGATTATCGATATGGTCTGTTTTAGCCAGAGTACTTTTTAGGGCTGCGGTTGGGGAAGAATTGGGGCGATCAATCCACTGCTTAACTCGAATGCGTTTTATTGTTTTTCTTTCTTAAAACTGTGCACTATGTGTAAGAGAAGATAGCCCTTACTTGCTTCAACAGTTAGCCCGAATATCGTGCTCGTTTCTGATGTGGCACGCATACGCATGCGCTTCCCATGTCAACCTGATGCACTGGACTGTCAGGCAGTCGTCCGTTGTCCGTGAAATAGCAAAATTAACTGATCGTTTCGAACGTTGCCGGAGAAGAATTAAACACCGGTTATGTTACGTGTGCAGCTTAATTGGAGATCATGATTTTGGAACGCCTGGATCAGGCCTAGTGTCGTCCTTAGTTCCATTTGTCAGGAGTAAACTTTTTGCAAAAACTGGGTTTTGCTTCCTTCTGATAGTGCCGACGGTGTTTTATAAAGTAAGGCCACTGAAGATTTCATTTACACTATTTGGCAACTAATGGTGTTTCGAACTGCCATGGCAGAATGGTTAATCAGTCCTGAAGACACGGAGTAGGTTCCATTTTGGGAATATAACTAGATGACAGTACTATCTAAAGGGGGACTTGAACCGTCCTGAGATGTTCTATTTTTACATACAGGCACTCTGATAACACTTTGCTGTGAAGTTGCCGGCTACAGTGGCTTCAGAGTTTCTACGATCGCGGACCGGTGCGAACATCCTCAATTTCGCATAAACACACACGCGCGCGCCGTCTCACGGGCGGAATCGCGGACATCCCGGGTCGAGCAGGATGCCAAATGCCTGGGATCACGAACTCTTAGGGGGGACTGCCTGCTTGGTCGTGTAAAGTGTACTTGCACACGTGTGGGCGCATGCAATGACAGAAGTTACCTGCTTTAGGAGGGCTGCCGTCTGAGCTACTGTGCACACTGTCATCCAACTGTGGATCTTCCTTACAGCGGCCAAGAAGTAGATCCGACTATGTTATCAAAGCAGGATTCGAGTAGGAATATGTGTGAATTTGAAGAGGTGAAGTAAGCCGAAGCAACAAATCACTTTAGTAAATATTCACTGAACGGTGTGCCAGGCACCTAACAACTAATCAATTCTGGGGCTCGAATCCGCCGCCAAAAATCCGACCGTGAATCGCAGTGCCTTACTATTAGTGTGTGGAAGCATTACAATTGGAAAGTAAAGTCGTTGGCAGTCTCGTCGATAGGAGTGATGCGCACAAGAAAAGGCACGTTTGTAAGTGTTACCTATCCGCGAACCGGCTGGGAGTGAGAAAAGTGGATCGTGAGCCGGTCTACTTATGCCTGCCCCTTGGCTTGTGCTGGTTGTTCCTGTTGCCACTGCCCTTGTAGTTGCAACAGCGGTGGTTGCGGTAGTTTTGTACTTTGGGGCACTTGTCTGACGTTAAACGGCCAACTCATAACTGGCACGGACTCGGGGAGTCCGACTGTCCGTGCGTCCCTCCGGTCCGTCCCCTTCTTCGGTCGTGAATGCTGAGCTCTGCGCGTAGAAGATGAGCAAAGACTGGTGGTATTTGAGCATTGCTGCCCGAGGACCATCCTTCTAATGAAGTTCACCGAGTTCGGTTAAAACTAGGCAGTCTGCACTCGCTGCGACAGTATCGAAGGGATACTTCAAGCCATCAAGAAAGATGTCTTGGGTGGTTTGGGCACGTTCTCTACCGTAAGACCCATGAGATAAATTATACTGTCCTTGATCCGGCGCCGTTGCCCGGCTGGAGGCGTCAAAGAGGAGGAAAAATTAAGACCTGACATGATACGGTTCGTTAAAACATGAAATCCGTCCTTGGACCCTCGTCATTCAGTCTCCGTCGCTGGAGGAGAGAGTGGGCTTAGCTGTTCAGATCCGCTGCCCAGATCGTCACACTTGAAGAGATACAATACGCGACATCAAAACCGACTCGATTTGGCATGATCACAGTCTCGCCAAGTTCAACTAGTACTGAATGGAGGAAGTATATACTTATTTCAGATGAGTCGCAATAGTACGTACAGTGAGTGACCTATCTCATGAAATGTTGGTTGAAATTCTGAAATGCGTTTTCGATTAGGAAGGATTACATGGTCGCGGTTGTAATATTGATTATCTTAAGACATACTCTTATAACATTTCGGACTTGGCAGGATGTCGGCTTTTAAATGCACTTCTTTTCGATCTCCCGTAGAAAGCGTGCTCGGCAAAAAATGACTACTTAAGTAGCATGCATTTTCCCATTGATTTTCGATGGTCTTTGAAATTCAAATATATTGTATAGAAACCATGAACAAAAATGTGCTTTTTTAGTCAATCAATGGAGAATCACGTCTTTATATTTTATATTTAAGGAAGGAGTATAATTAGGTTTTCAAAAAGTTTCTTATTATGAGACTTTTTAAGACCGCGAAATGTCCATTCACATAGCATCGTACCTGGCCGTTTACCACCGCTCCTTGTGAAATGTACAACATGGTCTGCATCCATTGCAAAATTTTATGGACTGTGTATGATATCTCTTTAATGCCATAGTAAAATATGTGATTTTCTTTACGCGGAACGCATGCACCTTGTAGAGTGAAATCACTAAGCGCTAATGCAACGAATGATCAGGCTCAAAATTATTCGGCAATTAGGAAACTTTTTTAAAACCTAATTATACTCCTTCCTTAAGTATAAAATATAAAGAAGACGTGATTCCCCATTGATTGCCTAAAAAAGCACATTTTTGTTCATGGTTTCTATACAATATATTTGAATTTCCAAGACCATCGAAAATCAATGGAAAAATGCATGCTACTTAAGTAGTCATTTTTTGCCGAGCACGCTTTCTACAGGAGATTGAAAAGAAGTAAATTTAAAAGCCGACACCCTTCCAAGTCCGAAATGTCATAAGAGTATGTCTTAAGATAATCATTATTACAACCGCGACCAAGTTATCCTTCCTAATCGAAAACGCATTTCAGAATTTCAACCAACATTTCATCAGATAGGTCATTCACTGTAGCTATTTAGAGTATTATGTTCTTAGCCCTTCGTACAGCCGTTCAGACTCTATCATGGGAACTACTGCAAATCACACTGCCGTCATCGTTTTACTGTTGGCAGTGATTGTCGCGGATCCCTAGATGGCGTCATCCGGAGGAGGAGAACTGCAAACCATGGTTCTGGTTTCCAAAAGCCTCCTACAAGAACTGCATTTGTTCGTTCAGCACATCCTTGAAACCAGTGAATCAGGCCTTCTTAAGTATTTTGTTCATATATTTCTTACGCGTACTTATTAATCATTAAATCAAGAATACAGTAAACGTCCTATTTCACAGAAATTAACTGTTCTTTCATGGTTGCTTTCACCTCCTTTCAGGTTTATCCTCAGCTCAGTCTGCAAAACTAAGAAAAGACAGTAGCGATTGTAAATATCTAGCCCTAGGCCATGGGTCCAGATAGTTAAGAGTTAAGTTCATTCGAATTTCATGCAGTATGCCGGGTTTGAGGTATTGTTTTGAACTATATGTGCTCCATCTCCTGCGCCCCCCCCACCTCTGGTCTTCTTGACTCTGTCTTGACACTGGGTCCAGGTAGGCAGTAGGGAAGAGGGGGTGCGGTAGACGCTTCGCAAGTCTGCTCTCACTATAAACTAATTTACGCGCAAGTCACCGTGCCTGTTGCACGTTGAGGTGTAGTACACGGTGGACATCGTCGGAATCGACGATCGAACTGTCGGATGTGTTTCCTCAATTTGAGCATAGCAACTGAGTAAACTGGCCTACACGGTATTTGACTTGGAGTCGCCCGCGACTTCTCGTCCGCCCTTAGAAAGCACCCCTTTTAGATTACTTGGGACGTTGTCATTTTTACTATGATTTTTTATTGTTAAAGGACAAGCCATTAGGTTTATCCCAAAACCTTGATCATAATGCTCATAAATCATATTGTTTGACATCTATTGCGATAGTGCATGCCGCTGTACGACGGGAAACCGGGCAGTTTCTCACATAGACGGTTCCTTCTGGAGGCGATTATGATAATTCCTACAGTAACGTATCAGTATCGTTCCAAAGAACAATTCGGCCAGAGCGTGGACCATGCTACAGTTAATTTTTTGCATTTCGAAAGAAACTGGTCGGAGGTTTGAAAAGTCTTTGCCCAACTACAAGATTTGGATATCCATCCTCATTTTGATACTCTGACTATCGATTGCTTGTAAGGATATCTTGTTCACGTAGTTGCAGACCGTTTCATTTTCGAAAACACGCCTTATCACTAGTAGGTTTATTCGGCCCTTGCGGAGCTTGCCAATTTACGATAGTGTTTGTCAAGTTTGTCACCCCAGCTTCAATTACAGTTTGAGCGGTTTTGACAGGTATCCATGGGCTCTGAAGCCGGCTAAACCAGCACGGGTGATACCCGATTCATACACCACGTAACATGGTCCCCCCTCATATGTTCTTGTTCAGTACCACGTATGTTATCAACCTCTTCCCCGAATTACGCAGTTTTTTGTCCTCGTTGTGTTCTAGTGTTTTCACATCCATGGGTTTCGCACGCCTGAGTCGTAAAAAACTGCAGATGGAGTTGCAGGACTTGTCCTCCTTCAGTGAACCCAAACAGCACCTTGAACAGTATCCCACGTCCCCGCATGTTGCAGGTACGCTGCTCACTTTCTCCACGATGATCTCTAGCCCAAAAAAGCCGACGTCCTCTTCGACATCCAAACCCGAGACGGCGCCATTGAGGATAAAGTGGTCGCAGACCTTGGCTGTGGTGCGGGCATGCTGACCATCGGAGCTCACCTGCTTGGTGCAAGGTAACTCGTATGCCTGGGAGGTTCTCACATCCTTTCCTCCACCGCAGGCTTGTTGTCGGTTTTGACATCGATGCGGACGCGGTCAAAGACCTTACTCAGAACATAGCTGAGAACTTTGGGCCCGACAGGCGGACCATCGAAGTAGTGCTCTGCGACATCACGAAACTGGCCGTCGGGGAGAAGACCTTCGACACGGTCATAATGAATCCACCCTTTGGCACCACAGATCAAACGAATGGTGAGTTTTTAGAGCCACGCCTCCAACGCTTTTCTAGGCATGGATATGGCTTTCCTGAAAAAAGCTCTCTCGCTTAGCAGGGAAAATGTCTATTCACTGCATAAAACAACGACCCGAAAGGTGAGTAGGCCAACTGTTGTGATTTTCTTACATCTGCCTGTCTTGTCTTCCGTGTTTGCGTAACTTGCAAAGTTCTGCTACTTCGGGTCTGCAGCACATTATCAAAACGGTGGAGGGCCTGGGCGCGAGGTGTGAGGTCGTTGCGGAGCTACGTTTCGACATTCCCAAGCTTTATAAGAAGCACAAGTACCAGTCTGTGGATGTTGCGGTTGATCTCGTCCACTCCTGGTTCGAATCCTGAGTGACCAATTCGGACTCGTCTTACTGTCCGTATCTTATGCTGCAAACTTTGTATATAAAATGTTTTTTTTTTCAAGGAAAAATATGGCATTTTCGAAGTTTCTTTTTGTTTGAGCAAGTATGGATCAGACACTTTGTTCGTCGTCAAAATATCCATTAGCGGCTAACGAGCGTGGGCACCTACAAAGTTATGTAGAGTTCGCCTCTGCCACGTCCGATAGTAAAAATGTTTTGAGCAAATCCGACTGAGGTAGCCAAGAGCCGCTAAGCCCCTTTCTGTACACTGTTCGGGATAGCGTGCCTCGCCGAATGCGCGGGCTCAACCCGCCTTAGGGGAATTCGCCGTCCTTTGCAGGTACACCTTCATAAGCTGCGCCCATCTCCAAACAGACGCCAAATAACCACTCACAAGCAGTTAACGGAGATACTAAGAAATAAACGAAAAGAGCTTAATCCGACGTTATTCGCTGCAAATGCTGTGGACCAGACATTGGGCTGTGCACATAGAGGGGTCCTGGAGGCAAATACCGGTAGCCTAATATGCGGACCAACCCAGAAACAACTGAGGCAGTCTGTGATAAAATAACCAATACACAACATCATTGCTGCGCGGTTGCTTCAAGACTTTGTAGGCTTCTTTTTCCGGTGTTCGAGTATTGCTTTTCTTATGTGTTTATCATACCCCTGTATTCATAGCATCTACCCGCAACTTGAGGTGCTCTCTGGGCCAGTCTGCGTGTAGGAATGAGATCATGACGTAGCAGTCGAGGACCGGAGTTTTTCCGGGTGACCTTAGCTAACCCTCACGACTGTAGGGGGTTTTATCTAGAAAGTCGACCTTTATAAATCCAGTGGACGATTGGACCGCTGGAAAAACCTTCAAAGCTACTACTTTTAAGGCGCCGTTACGGTTTATAGTGGGACAGGAATATCGCGCCGGTCCGGTTCCATCCCTTCCTCGCCCACTGCAATTTTAGAAGGTGGCATCGAGCCCACTGGGGGTAAGATTGGCCACAGTAGCAAACCAAACATTTGCTTCCACCAGGAGGGCCGTTGAACGCGGAATCATATGCACCTCATCAACCCGACCCCCGCGGGTAATATTATCTCGTTTGGATAAATCCAGTCGCATAAACGGCGCAGTATGCGCCGACGGTAACGGAACAGAAATTCCAAATGATACCAGTTAGGAGAGACAAGTTAGGTGGAGACACAGCACCGACAAGCACGGACCATGATAACATTTGAGATGCCTCCCCATGGTGGATTTCGATTACGAATCGTTCAGGTTACTTATTCATCTACAAGAAGTGTGATGCGGTAATGCTTGGGCAGGGCGTACTTGGGGAGAGGGGACCCGATAACTTGAACAAGAGTATTAATCGCTTAACGTTTCGGATCCACATTTGAATTCATCATTAGGAACGAGTATAGGCAAGGGTAGTGTTTGCACAGGGTCTAGAGCATTCGCAGGATGCAGTTGCTATGTCATTGCATGCCTATTAACGTTAGCGACTTCCGCACTCACCTCAGATGGTTGTAGTTGTTGCCTGATTGCCTGCAATCGAGTCGTGCTAATGACTCGGAGACCAGACTCATTAACGCACCCTCGCCTGATGCTGTCTCCGAATGAAACTCTTGCCCCAGTACCAGTCTTATTTCTTCAATGGATTTCTGATGCTCATATACTCGGTTACTTCCCCTGCGAGTATTCGACGAAATTGTCAGAGACTCCCAGAACGTCTGATGAAATACAAGTGCAACAGGCGGAACAAAAACCAAATTCTATGCAGCAGTACAAAGAAAGGGACGAGGTTATTTCTGGGGAACATGCCCCTAATACAGTTTTGAATTGTTATGAAGTGTCGAAACGTAGGTTATATTCCGTAACACAAATGAACTACCGGACCTTCTTAGAACGTGCGTGCGATCTCCTCCCGAATCTCAAGAAACGAACTTATCGTAATTTCCTGAAATTCTCCCCAGTATATAGACGACCGAAAAGCAAGTTGAAGATGCGGCAACACTTCTCAATGATTGCGATGTAATCGTTGTGTGGCACACTGTAGAAAGTGCAGAATAGGGCTTAAAGGCGAAAGGAAGCGCAGTTTTTCATCTTGTGAAATGCTGCTCTCTTCGATGGTTGCGGGCACCACCACAGGACTCCAGGTATATCTCATCACAGAAGAAACTTGAGCCCCTGACCAAATGGTTCAAGAATTATGACAGAGGGCGCTCGCCGGAGGAGCATGCCAGTCACCTGCGCCCTCTCCCGTCTTGACACCGGGTTAGGGTGGGGAGAGTGCGGTGGGCTCTAAGTCTACTCTCGCTACAAACTAATCCACGCGCAAGTCATTGTGCCTGCTGTGGGACATACGGTGGACACTGTTGGTAACGACGGTTGAACTGTCATGTCAAGCAACGCGATCAGTGCGCATCCTCTGCTATAGTTAATTTGCCTATTGCCAGCTGACGCCGACAATTAGGCCATAAAAGGCCATGCAAGTCACCGCCCGTTCTTTTCGGCAATGCGGCTCGACGGAGAGCCTGTGCCATGCCTGGCTGTGTCGTATAGGTGCGACGCAGCACGTTGGAGGGCCGGTTGGCGTGCGACTGAGACGAACATAAATCTACCATGCGGATGCCGCCACATCGGTCGCTCTCCTCATTCTGAGCTACACCTCCGGCTGAGATAAAACATGGTCAAAGGTTGTCGGCTTGCAAAAGATGTTGCCAGACAATCAGAATACGAACGATGTCTTTGCCCCCCAGGTCGACGCGGCTCACACGAATTTCGGAAGCGCCGATCGTCAAGGAGGTCAGTACGTGTTGGGCATCTGTCCAGCAGATTCATATCTACAGGCGACCACTGTGGAATTTCGATCAGCGTTGTGCACAATCCGCAAACGCTACGACAGCCTCGGAAGAATGTGCCACGCTTTTTCCCTCTTCACCCTACGGTGAGCTCGGTACTACTACCACTGTAGACTGTGGGGTTTATTTGACCCACGGTAGTCAATATTCATGGCTGGAGCAGGTCGAGCCCATCAAACCCGCTGCCACAGGACTTCGCGCAGGATGAGACGTTGAAAGGAACATAATTAGATTCGGATAGACTAGGAATTATTGCAGCCACGCCAAGTGCAATCATGATGCCCCACCCAGAGACACGCAAAACGACCACCATACGACTAGAGAACAGCGTGACACACGGTGACGACTCTAAAACGAGCCGGGCATGGCGTCCAACTGGAAGGGCAGTATCGGGTCTCCACCGCGCTTTTCTGAATCATTGCATTCCAGTCTCCCTTGTCTTTGTCGGTAATGCCATTCTGCCTATATCATGCACCGCTGTGCGGCTGCTGGTTGGGCTCGAGAAAGAGCCCGTAAGGCACAACGGGACGAGCGAGTTCTGTAAGAACGATCGGTGAGCGCCCCCTACCAGTGTATATTTCCGATCGAAACCGACAGGACAACGGGCTCGTAGCCCAGTGCTTAGAGGCGTGGACTTCTAACTAACAGGTCGCGAGTTCGAACCTCAGGTGTTCCAGACTTCGTGGTTGAGTATGACTGGCTGACGACGGCTAATAAGCCAGAAATGGCCACTCCAGCATCTCTCGTCTTTGTCGGTAATAACACACCACCTATATCATGCGCCGCTGTGCGGCTGCTGGTTGGGTTCGAGAGAGAGCCCGAGGCACAACGGAATGAGTGAGTTCCGTAAGAACGATCGGTGAGCGCCCCCCTACCATTGCATATACTGTATGCTCTTGTCTGTCACCGGTGGTCTGTGTCCACGTTTACTTTGCGGGTAACGAGCTACCTGGTTAGTAACGATCCCATAACAAGCTTTCGGTGAGCGATTAATATGCTAAACTGCGGTTCCCGCAGGGAGGCGGTAACTGTCAGGGTGGGAAAATAAAGGAGGCAGGACCTGTCAGCTTAGTGTCCTTTTTATCGAAAAAAAGGCATGGGATGAGAAATGAGGTTGAGGTTCTAGTCTAGTTATGTCTCCAGGAGAAAGGTGCGAGGGTGTGCGGTAGAGCGTTGTTTGGGCCGGGGACGGGAGTAATTCTCGGCCGAGGGATCTGCAGGAGATCTGAGTAGACCTCGCGTTCGCGCTGCCTAGTAAATTCGGGAATGTCCGGAAGAGTAAATTTGGCCTGGATTAGGGCCGGCGGCGGCGACTCCTCGGTGCAGTCGAGGACTGGGTCTACGGGATGGATTTTCCTGCCGAAACGGCCTGTCTTCTTCTGATACAGACCGCTGCGCTGCTTGATACCGTGCCAATTCTTCTCGCCGAATTTTCGGTACCTGTTTCGCCGAAGGCAGATGTAGAGAATGACAGGAGTTGTACGAAGAAAAAGCCGCCACTGGCAACGCTACATGCAGCAACAGTTGGTTTTAAAGGCAGGCATGTGCGGATGTCAATCTGTGAGGGATCGACGCAATGCAATCAGGGAATTTTTTGTTCATATACAAAAATAGGATACGCTTTACGCACACTACTGTGTAAGTGCATGCCAAGCAGCACTTCTTATGTTGATGTGCATAGCTAGAAGAGGATTGCAGTCTTAATTATTATACAGGTCCAGCACGCAACATGAACACTGGTAGCTTCCGAACTACTGGAGCCGAGGCCTCGCAGAAGAAGTGCAGAAAGAGAGACCGGACACCTGGTCATGTTGCCAAAACCTCTAAAATTAAAATCAGCGGGCCTTCGAAAGCGACTTTTTTGATTGGCGTCCGATTGCTCAACTAGGGAAGCCGGGGACGCCTTCGGTGCCTTGAAGGTCAAGTCAACGTTTAAAAGCTTCCATTTAACTACTGTCAAGCTATAGGGCAGGAAAATGGGAAAGCGAGATTGACACTGGATGCAAGTGATGGGGAAGGAGTGAGCGGGCCAATCAGAAGTGCGTAACCAGGAGGCAGACCCCATTCGGCTTGTCAATACATTCGCGTGAGCCGAACTAATGAGTTGGGCACAAGAATATTGACCCCCGCCCCCTACTACAGGTTGCCTTGGCCTCAATTTCAAAAGGGGGACACAGGTAGTCAGGGCAATTAGAGTTAGGGTCGGGAGGATCAGGGGAAGTGTTAGAGTTAAAGTTGGGAAATGGAAATCGGAAGCCCCCTCCCCTCCAGGAACTTAGCGCGAGGCCAGATGTAGTACCGGGGGAAGTCCATATTCCCGTGCCCGACCCCTCCTATTTAATTTGCGCTGTCTACAGTTTGCGTCTTACTAACGACAGGCGTCACGTCCTTTGACAACAGCCGAGCAGACAGTCGAAGTATAGATTTTGGACGGGCACGTGCCAATCACATAACGTGAGGTGGAAACAAAAAAAGTCTCGAAGGCAAACCTGGCTCCTAAGCTCTCCAAGAGTTTTCGGAAATTCGATCGCGAAAGTGAACTACTATATCCCCCAACAGTGGGGGCTAAGGCTCATTGGGAGCCCCGGCAACACGGGGTCCAGCCTCTTGTGAATCGGTTTCGACTCGGCGACCCTGGCGCGTGTACAGATCGAGCAGGAGAGGTGGCTGCTTCAGCAGAACTGAACAAATTTGTAAGACTGATTAACGATCTACAACCAAAAACTATTTTCTCTCACAATACGGCTGCGGAATGTCATAGGCAAATACTACTAGTAGTTGGAGAGGCCGCTACATACAAAACTTTAGCAAGATGTGACCTGAAAGGTGTTATAACACTTTCGGGATTCAAACTCGTAAACAGAGTTGAAAAATCCTGAAAAGACAAGATGACGGACGGAAAACAAGGCCTTCAAACAATAAGCTCGGCCACACAGACCGTAATACAATATCCGACTTAGAAAATCGTCATTTTTGACCGCAAAGTGAGTTGCGCTGCATGGGCGAACTCGGAGACGCAAAGCGTCCAAAATTGCTGCGCAGTACGGAGCTCAATATGCAGCGGAAACTGACGTGTGGTTGTCCGCTACGGGGTCAAAAATGCGAGGTGGTGGTTCAAATATGGATGCTTAGTTTGGAAAATGGCGTAGACTGACAAATACTGAACAGAGGCGTGATGGAGTAGGGGGGTTTCGTTTCGCCTTGAAGCTCTAGAAGGCAGCTGATGATTGGCCGCCGTCGCTATGCGAGGAATTTAGGTTGGAGCGGCTCCAAGGCAAAACGAAACACCCTTATTGCATAGTTTGGGTCCATCCAGATCAGCGGACGACGTTTTTACAGGAGTTTATTATCCGCACTGATTAAAACTGGACCACACAGATCCACTCTGGCTTCGCCAAAAAAGGCCAGCAGAAATTAAACGGGAACCAGGGCACGCACTTCTCCTTGTTGTGATGTTCATTGGAGACTTGGCCAACCACGACAACACAGGTCGGCAGGAGGCGAATTTCCCGTCGCGTGGACGACAGCTGTACGGAGCAGGTGTACTCATCGCCTAGACCGTCTGCGGAGAGGAGGTCGGCTTGACGTCGACGAATCGTCTCCAGGTCGTGCACACAGGCTCCGCGACGGATGACGCTCGCGTGGGTGCCAGCCGCACAGCAGAAGGTCGCGCCATCTCCGGGATGCAGTTCAAGGAGGCAGACCTGTGTGCCGACGGGCAGGGCCCCTACGGGGTAAGCGTCGCCCTCCACCGGCAAAACTGATAGGATCAAAGGTGAAGAGTGAATGACAGCGGCCCAGCGGCATTGCAGTGTCTACAGTAATGGACATACCTGGGCCACCCACAATCCCAGGTTAAGTCAGCGTTAATGGCCGTGATTGGTGGGAAGTGCAGCGTAGCAGCGCCGCAGGCCTAATGATGAGGGCTGACTGAACGGCTAGTAATGTGCGCGTATGAACAGGGGCAGGATGCAGGTTGTTACATGACAGTATCAGATTGCAGTCGCCGCTTAATGCGGCCTTTATGGCACTCTCACATTTCGAAAAGATTACTTAAGTATGGTTGTAATAGTAATTACCTTGTGGCATTATACCAAGGTATTCCAATCGCGCCGGGAAGCCGGCTTTAGAACGAGCTCCTTATTGATCACCTAGGTAAACTGCATATCGTAAAAAGTTGCCAAGTAAGTAGCGTGGATTTTCCCCTTGGTTTTCGATGCCCTTCTAAATTAAAATATCTTTTATGGTGGGGGGCGCTCACCGATCATTCTTACGGAACTCTTTCGTTCAGTTGTGCCTTACGGGCACTCCCTCTCGAGCCCAACCAGCAGCCGCACAGCGGCGCATGATATAGGCCGTATGTTATTACGGACAAAGCAAGGGAGACTGGAATGGTCATTTCTGGCTTATTAGCCGTCGTCAGCCAGTCATACCCAATCCCGAAGTGTGGAATACCTGGGGTTCGAACTCGCGACTTGTTAGTTAGAAGTCCACGCCTCTAAGCACTGGGCCACGAGCCCGTTGTCCTGTCGGTTTCGATCGGAAATATACAATGGTAGGGGGCGCTCACCTTCTTCTCCCTTTTTCCACTCATGTGGTGGCAAATTAGGTCTTCCTCATTTTTTATTTATGAAAAAGAATATTTTTCGGTTTTTAGAAAGTTTGTAAATATGAGATTTTTTATGACCGTGGAATGCCCGATCGTAAAGCATCGTATCAGGAATGGGCGCACACCCATCTTTTAGCTTCCCGAAGCAAGCAAGCTCCGTATGGACGGCAAAGGTCACGAACAGGCAATCAATTACCAGGCCTAAGTCGGCCAAGTCATAATAGCAGCGAGGAGGGACGACAGAGAATGCGGGTAGATTGATACTGTACTGTTTCGGGCTTATTGTGCCTTTATTCAGCCAATCACAACCTTGACCAACAGCTGAGATCAGAAACACAAACATGCGCACAGACGCACCTGGCGCAGTTGATCCACCACTGGGGTCTACCAGATGGGTCATAAGCACTTCATCGAACCGAAGTTCACCAGTGCCTCGCCACCTGTCATTCTCTGCCGCTGCAGATCGGGTATTTATCAATCAGGAATGGGCGCACACCGATCTATTGGCTTCCCGAGGCAAACAAGCTCCGTGTTGGTGGCAAAAGTCACGAACAGGCAACCAAATAACAGGCCGAATTCGGCCAAGTCATAATAGCAGCCAGGTGGGACGACAGAGAATGCGGGTAGATTGACAATGCTGCTTATGATGTGGACAACGTTCATTACAAAATTTTATGAGCCCGATATGTTCTCTTCCTAACGGCATATAGAAATGTGTGATTCTCCTTGCACGAAAATTGTACAGCTTGTAGTTTGGAAATTCTGAATGCAAGTGTAACGGCAGGCCGGGGATACACTTTCTTCAAGTGTGAAGTTTGAAGAAGACGAACTTTGCAACCGAATGAGCGAAAGAAATATTATTTCTGTGCTTCTTTTGTATAAAATATATGAATTTATAAGGGCATTGGAATCAATGGTTAAAAGTCATGCTACTTAAGAGTGTTTTTTCGCGGGATATAGTGTATACTAGCTGTCGACAAGAGGCCCATTCAAAAGCGGGCACCTTGACGTGACCGGAACATCTTACCATTATGTGACATGATAAGTAATATTATGACCCTGCTAAAGTAATCTTTTGGAATCGAAAGTACGTGTCAGAATTTCAGTTGACATTCCACAAGATAGCGTATGTACTGTATTTGAGACTGGTTTATGTGACGTTGATGGCCAGCACATGTTGTATGCCTATAGTAACTTAGACATCGTCAAACATAGTGAGCAAAGTCACCTCAGGTTATCTTGACTCTGTCTTGCCAATGAAAGAGAAGAGAGAATGAGGTCGATGGCTCAAACGTCTGATAATCAAAGAAGAAATCGTGCGTTAGGAAGGCCAGCAGTGGTACTTTGAGTGTGAACCAAATACGGTGGGAATACCAAGAAAATTAATGATGGATTAGTTAATACAGACAGGACATCGTCTCCACCGCTAATCGACCTCGGTACTGGCATTTAAGCCAGCGTTTTTAAAATGAAATACGAAGCATCCAGGATCTTAGAGAGCGGGGAGTAGCACGCTATGGCCAAGACAATGTCATGACCTTCAGACTTCGCATTGTCGACCCGAAAAACTTCATACCGGTTGGTCAAACCCTTCGGAGTTCAGTTTTGGCCTAAAAGCAGAACCCTTTAGACTTTAAAAGGATAGGATTCAGCAACCGTAGATCCCTCTCTACACTTGCGCTTTTCAAGTTGAAAAAAGTGTTTCGTACACACCAGTAATACTGCCATAAGTAGGCCTCCATCGTGGAAATGCCTTTCCTATGGTTGAGTATCCATGCGTAAAATAAGAATGCAAAACTTACCAGTGATGTTGGGGATTTCCCAGTGCGACCGAATAATGTCGCCCTCCTTCATTTTGGTCGTGGCAACAATCCAGCGTTTCACCTCACCGGAGGCGACCAGAGCCAGCAGGGGATCACGCCACCAGTTTTTGACGATCTGCATTCAAAGAGGAGGAAGAACGTGAGAAGTGACACGACAGTTCAACCCAATTTGACACTGAAAGGTCAGCACGTGGTGGGTGCCGGCGTTCGCAATCTGAAACCGATAATTAAACGTCCACCGACAGTTCGACCGCCGATTCCGCGTGATACACAGGAAGGTGCAGCAGGCACGGTGACTTGCGCGTGAGTTCGTTTATAGCGATGACAGACTTGCGTAGCATCTACCGCGTCTCTAAATGGCGAATTTAATTCACTTGTTACTCTGATATTGTTCCCGCGGGCTCCTTACAAAGTACATTCAACTAGTAGTATAATCGCTATTGTAACTATTAAAAGCTTAACGAAGGCTTTGAAATTGGCGAGCTCGCGAGGATTGCCAATTGGACGGTGGGCTCAATCTGAGAGTCAAGCAGTGAGACTGGCTGGATCACCCGGTCATAAGCGAAACATGCAACTTCATTCTACGGTGCGGCTCAATCGCACCATCTACCTGCGCCCCCCGTCTTCGGTCTTCTTGACTCTCTCTTGACACCGGGTCCAGGTGGGGAGTGGGAAATGGAGGGTGCGGTAGATGCTGCGCAAGTCCACTATCACTATAAACTAATTCACGCGCAAGTCACCGTGTCTGCATCAACGCCCAGTGGAGCGCAAGGTGGACATCGTCGGCAACGACAGTCGAACTGTCATTCTACGCTACAGAAAAAGGCGGGCGGTTACCGGGTTTCGATTGTTACTGGATACCATGCTGAGTCGACAAGCAGAACATAAAAATTAATTGTAAGACTGGCTGCAATAGCACCTCTTGGTGAAATCTCAGCAAACTGGTTTGAGGCGCCGAGAAACACGATTGTTAAAGATGGCGAATGTGGTGGAGAACGAGAGGCCAGGGCGCGGGAATACGAATCCTCCGTAGTGCGGGTGGTCTTGCACTAAACTCAGGGCGGAGGGTTAGGTGAGGGCAAGGGTTAAAGTTAGGACACGACAATGGGTATTCCCTGGAATTCAGCGCAGCCACTTAAGTACGAGGAGTCCTGATTTTACGTGTCCAACCGACGAAGTCAACTTGAGATACCAACAGACGGCTGATACAGTTCGCAGGCTGCTGCCGACTGGTCGGAAAGGAAAATAGACACCGACAGAGATCTCTGATATAAAATCTGCCTCCTCAAAAGGTAGGGCTAGCGCCGGCATCTTTCGTGTTTGTGTCACTGGCTCTCTTGGGTGTCTACCTACGGCGGTCAGTTTAACATAGTTGCGGGTAGGTTTAACCTGCGAAGGATGGTACCAGCAGCTGGGATAAAGCCATTCGCAGGTATGCAGTCAACTGAAGAGGCTTTCCTCGGGAGGGGTGAATTCAAAGTTTGATAAGGCAGACAGCGAATCTGCCTAAACCATCATCTGCGGCTAGAAAGTCCTACAAACAGAGAGACGGCTGTGTAAGACGGAAGGGTCGCGTTCCCCCGTCGTGCCTTCTTGCGTCAATTTCAGTCAGCGTTGATCCTGGATGAGATGCATGGCCGTGGCTGGCGTCGCTACCGTATTCGCAGGCGGCAACCCACACCACCCAAGCGGGATACCATTTCAGTTTTGGCACAGTCGGTGTGGTGAGCCGGGGTGAGTATACAGTGAAATAGCTGCAGTAGGCGTGACTGCCAAATATCGGCTAAACCCGGCACTCCGACCGTCGTTTCCGACAGTGTTTACCATGTGCCCCATGACAGGGTTGGCGAACTACAGTAACTTGCGCGTGAATTACTTTGTTGTGGAAGCACATCTGCGCAACATCCACCACCCTCACCACCCCCCTGGGTCCAGTGTCAGGACAGAGTCCAGAAGATCGGTAGCGGGGTCGGGCGCGGTGGCTGACGGGGATATACAGCCCGTCTACGCGTGCCACACGCACGACGGACCGGGCTCTCGCGCGCAAATCAAAAAAGGGGGAGGCTGCTCGAACCCCGACTGAGTGGAAGCGCTATAGAGGCCAGGTTAAGAAGGGGCCATTGAGTCTGACTCCATCAATGGGCCCCTCGACACCACCACATACGGGGCCGAACCGGCTCAATCTACTACAATATCGACTTACAGCATTACGTGAAAAAAAGAGCAAGACCCGTAGTGAAGTCAGAAAAGGGAAGTGCAGCTCTATGGCTCCGAACACCAAGTGAACCGGGGTAACGTCGACTACTGGCGAATAGGACACATTACATATCCGCCAAGGACAAAATAAGTCAACGAAACAAGCAGCGCAGGGCACGCAATCCCCTTCCGGTGCCTAGTCTGCAAAGATATGTAGCTGGATGCCCAAATTGGAACGTCAGACTGGAAACACACCTCGCCCAATGAACGTCTCCTCTTGACGCGGAAGTGAATGCAAGCAATAAGAAAGTGAACGACGGCAGGGGGGAGGCGCTTCACTTGCTGTACTGACATGAGCACGACAGACCCGTGAGTGGGAGAAGCTAAGGTATGAAAACGCCGGCAACTGCGCCGAGGGAAGTCGAACTCGCGTATAGGTTGAGCATAGGAAACAGTTAATGTAAAACACCAGAGTGACGGTGGTGGGATTTTCATCATTGAGGTTCACCTTGAGTATGACTTCCTCGTGGACAGTCTTGGTTTCCATCTGACGGGAGCGGTTGTGGTCCACCATGATGAAGGGCATGTGAAGGCCCGTTGTCCTGTGCTTGAGTTGAATGTGGCCTTTAAAAAAAAGGGGAAGACGGTGTACAGAGAGAGAGCGATGCGGATGGGGTCAGAACAGGAAGGGGGCCAGTGAAATCAGGGCACACCAGCCGCAGCTACTAAAGGGCAAGTGCGCCCCCGGATGGCCCTGAGGGTAGGTGGTTCCTCAAGAATTTCCATGTCCCATTCAATGCGCAGACGAAAGAAGGGCGGGGGGAGGTGGGGAAGGCAAATTCTGACTTCCTATGGGCTTGCGTGGTTTGAACAATCCTTATCGCCCTCCACCCCACCCTCTGGTGGCTGCAACAAGCACGGCATGGCTGACATAGGAAGCGGTCAGTTATATTAGGGATGACCAATTGCTGTTGACTTTCAGTTATGTCTGTGCGCGGGATGCATGAGTTTTTGGAAGCTGACAACAAGGAGGACGCGCCCATAGGAGTGTAAATGTTTCAAAGTGCACAGTAAAAATTGTCCTAATATGGGTTGGCAATCTGTGCAGGGTGGGCTAAAAGTGCCCTCTGGGCGTAAAATGACAAAATTTAGATGGTATAAATTGCTGTAGACACTGAATAAGAGGAGACATGGCGACTACCCGTGAACTCACGGTGGCTACTGCTCGAGTAAATTGAGCTGCCAAGAGCAGGCTTCATGCGTACGACGCAGGATGACGGTTTAGCCCACAATCAGCCACGATCGCTTCGGCCGGCCAACCAGTTGCAACCGTCCACACGCGAGCCAGGCAGCCAGGGCTGGCATGCTTGCACGATGTTACCTGCTTCTTCGCGTAGGCAAACCCGACAAAAGCGTAACGCCTTAGACTGATTGAGCCTGTATGCACATAATAGTCCTTCCGCTGGTGTCTTCCACCTCCCATTTATGGTTAGTAGTCAGACCACCACTTAAACCGTTACACACAAAAGTAACAAATCGGCAATTCCAAAGGGAAAACTCGGTAGTCTCGATGGCATGTAGATCGACAACAGCAGAGTCGAAGTTTGGATACAGCCAACGCTCTAAACACCTAAGTTAAGTGGCTCAGAGAATGAGCCACTAGCTCAAGGTCAAGTTACCCGTCCAACCTACTGCGACGTGCGGAATCCATCATCAAATAGAGCATTTGCTGTACTCAAGCCCTGCCCTTGTTATCAAAGGAATCCAAAACCCATGAAGGCCGCCGAGTGCTTCACGGCTGGGTCAGCTGAATTATTAAAATCCATCAAAAACACCCGTAAAATGGCCTATTCTTTGAAGAGTCGGGAGGATGAGTCAGCATGCGGTGATGCTTCGTACAGTGCCCTACTAGAGGCGTAATCGGGCGGCCTTTCTGGAAAGACGGCGATCGCGAACGAGAACAGAATAGGAGACAGGAGGGATCCTTACCATCAGGTCCTCGACCACCAGTACGCACCAGTCGCAGAGGGTCAACACTGTACTGGGTGGGATCGTTCACCCTCTCAATGGCCCATTTCATGCTCACTGGATGAGGATAAATAATGCCTGGATGGCGAGCCAGCGAGATGGAAGTGGTGAAGGACCGGCAAAGGAGGCCCTCTGCCAACCTCGAAATGTGGTGTACTCTCCTCGCAACGGAAGCCTGTAAGAAGTAGTATAAGCCTGCAGTACTGAAGGGAACGAGAACTCAAAGGGGATGAAATTAAAAATGGACGTCGGTCAGAAGTCAAATTTACTTCCAGTTCAGTTTATGTACAGGAGTTTTTGTGTGTCTGTGTGCTTGTGTTTGGGCAGGATGTGCAGAATTTACAGTCTAGATGGGACACGAGCCAAGCAGGGCCTGGTGATGCTGATGTGGATCCTCCGAGGTCGTAAGCTCGCGCAGAAGGGGTAATATCTCGGAACGGATCAGGTCTTTGGAGATTCGGGGCAAAGGAACGCGGAAGAGGAGACCTGCCCGAGCGTAGTCCTGAAGAACAGGGCCACGACTCTGCTTGTAGTGCGGATCGTAGTGATCACGCAAGAAACTGGCAACCAGGCCGCGGTAGTCGCCCCGACGAATTAGACTGCGCCAACTCTCCAGCAATGACCGACTGTGGTAGGCGGAAAGTCTACAGAGAGCGAATAAGAAACTGTCGACTTCCAGTAGGGAGCCAACTGTGAGGGCACTTGAAACAGTGTGCCACTTGATTCGCATACAATGGACTTTCTGGCAGACATTACTGTAGCTGGAAATCCAAGACTAGGGAATGGCGTCAGGAAATCGCGAACCTCAAAACGGAAAATAACTGCCTACTGAAATTACATAGGTAGTATGTTTAAAACATGCGTACGGCCTGTTAGTGAATGGAAAGTTTAAATTTAAAATTTTGGAAAGCTGCGCAGTAAGAATACAAAGTAATCACAGGGAAGTGCTGGGAATTTGGCAACAATACTCGTGATCCCCATTTAGGCTGATCCTAGGTCAGTGGCACAGCCCGTTAAAGCAAGCGAGCCCACCGCCCATACAATTAATTCAGAGTTCAGTCCTGTATCGAGGATTCTCGTACATTGGAATTGACACTGCTTACTAATGTTTCACAGACTTCAATCTAATCACTGAATATATGAATATTGGCCAAATAAGAGTTAATTCTATAAGGTAAGCGCTGCAAGTCTACTCAACCCCAATAAACAAAATTAGCGCTTACGACTCCACGGCACGATCCAACCGCGCAAGGTCACTTAACCAATAGGCGTAATCAGTAAGAATCCATTCAATTCTAGCCTCTTCCGGAACGTCAAGCCAAATTCGTCGGGTCGGAAGTCCCGAAATGCTGCGGAGACGAGAGAAGAAGCCATTTGGCAATCTGCAGCGCGGACCAACCGATCGGGATTCGCACTCGGTCCACACGGGAGTCAACTTGGGTTCCGCTTCGTCCGTCCCCTGCTGCGACTGATGCGTAGCATTGTCCGTAGGAGGTAAGACGTAGTTAGCTAAAGCGCCGTGAAGTTCACGCTCGAACTCCCGTTGTGATGGTCGAGCGTCGGCGCAGGACTGTCCAAACACCGAGCCCTTGTGATTGGCCAAACGTTCGAGATGTATGATGCGCTCACCGGCAGCCTCTAGCTCTTCCAGTAACAACGTCTTGCCGCATCCTGAAACGGTAGAGGCGCATAAGATGGTTGCATTACTCATGCAAGTAGCCATGAATTCAGGACTGTTATTGATCGGGTCGAGCAGCAAAAGAGGGCCCCAGCGGATGTGATGTCGAGAACAAGCAACGACAGCAGAGAGGGAGAGTCATAGGTACGAGCTGGTCAAGGCTAAACGAAACTGATAATGGCAAATAACACACAAACGCGAGTAACACGCGAAATCCGGCGTTTATGAAGGAAAGAAAGACGATGTCCACTGTATGCGCCGTGGAATGGCGGGCGCAGATGCGCAACGTGCGCTTGAATTAGTGATAGCAGACTTGCACAACATCTGTCGCACGTCCTCTTCCCTCACCACCTGGACCCGGTGGCAAAGCTGAGTCAGGACGACTGGGAGCAGGATTGGACGCAAAGTTAAACAGCCCATCTACGTGTGCCACATACAGTACCTGTGCTAACTCATGAAATGCCGAGGTCAAAATAAGAGTGGAAAATGTAGCGTCTTTTTGGTGTTGTTATTTCTGTTTATTAAGTTGAAATAAGGACGAAAAGGCCGTTTGCTGAAGGAAAGTTTGATACGGATCTGTATATTAAATAGAAAACGGGCCGCATTTCGGCGAAATCGGAGGATTCCTGATATTGAAGCAGTTTCCTACGCTATTAAAGCTTTCAGATCGAAATTCTTTGTGTTACCTTATTAATCTGTTTAAGATGATTAATAAAAGGACGAAATTCTTCAATAGAGTTTCGAACAATAAGAAAAAATTAAATTTCAATATCAAGAAAAACAGGGAAATGCAAATAAATTATCTCTTATTGTGTTCAGGAAATAACGTGCGATTCTTTATCGAAAATTTCTATTTTACAAATTCGTAAAGTTTTATGTTTCAAAATACCGAAATAAAAAAGTTTATCAGTGTGATTGTTTTACCAGACTGAAAATGCGTGTCGTAAACGAATATATATTGAGTTTGCGCGACATGCCATCACGTATCTCTACCACGCCAAACGATACTTATCCGAAGTTGACTTCCAGCGCATTCGAAAATTAGCGGCGGAGGGAATCCCGCGTGAGTCTTTAGCTAGTATTTTCAATATTAACAAGGTCACTCTGTGGCGCATTATTAATGATAAAACTATTCCCAGAAATAAGATAGGGGGACCCAAACGATCCACAAGGAAGCAAGACGACGATTTTATTCGTCGTACATTAAAAAAGTTTCATTACATGCCCATTGAGACCATTCAACGGGAACATCTGCCGATGTTTTCTATGAACATCATTAGGAAAAGGACGCAGGAATTTGAACTGCAGCGGCGGAAGGCCATGATTAAGCCATATTTAAGTAGAAAACTAATTAGAGAACGGCTTTTATTTGCTAAGAATTATATTGATTACAGATCTTCATTTTGGAAGAGCATTTTCTTCTGCGATGAGGTTCTATTTTTAGACAAGCCTACGAAATCGCTCCAAACCGTCATATGTGGAAAGAACTTCCCAAGAGAACACACTACACTGACGGCAACATTCAAGAACTGTCGGCGGATGATGGTTTGGATGGCGATTAAATTCGGTGAGCGGCCTGTCTGGCGGTCAACATCCGACACACTCGACAGCAAGGTGTTTATTGCAATTGTCAAGGGTGCTTTCGGCTACAACGGCATAAGTCGGCGCCGAATGGATACTGTAATTTTGCAGGACAATGCACCTGTCCACCGCTCTAAAGAGGTACGAATTTGATGCCGCTTGCAAATATAATCTAACATTTTAGGCAACAACCACCCTCTCCGCCATCGGCCTCCAATCCATTTTCATCCCGGCCAACAGTCCCGATTTGAATCCTATCGAAAATCTTTTTGGAATAGTCAACAGAAATTGGCACAAGGCTAAGAAAACTCTTTCAATGCAGGAAAAATTGGATTTCATACTCAATAATTACATTTTACATTCCACCATAGATAACCTCGTCATGTCTATGTCTGACAGACTTTCTGCCGTTATTAATTCAAATGGACAATCAACAAAGTACTAATTTTTTGTATCTGTTTCTGTCCTTAATTATTTTTGACCTTTTATGCGCCCTCCTCCTTTATACGCCCTCATACGTAGCCCTTATTAACTTGGTTGTAATATAGGCGTTTCTCGAAAATGTGACTTTTGTCGAAAATTATTAATTTTTATCTCAGTAAATAATATTTTCTTAACCAAACTTTGCTTTATTTATTTGACACATCGTTTATTTTCCGCTATCAGACTTTGGGAGCCGTAGTGTTTACTGATTCTGCGTTTAATTCGTTAACCTGTGTTAATTCATGACATTTCATGAGTTAGCACAGGTACTGTATTACCGGGTCATTACTACGTAAGCGGCGGTACCGCACACACCTCACCTAGCCGTTGTAAAAATTGCCTACTTACTTTATTTGGGTAGGTATGATTCCGTAACGTTCAAACGTTCGTAACGTTCCAGGGTAAAGGGTTAGGATTTTAAGGCTAAGATTAGAGATAAGGGTTTACGGTTAGGGTTATAAGGTCAAGATTTTGGAGATGGGGTTAAGGCTTTTAGGTTAGGCTTAGAGCCAAGGTTCTAGGGGGTTGGGGTTAGGGTAAGGGTTTCGTGGTTAGGCCAAAGAGATAAGGTTAGGATTAAGGTTTCACGACAGGCTTCAAGAGTCAATATTGGTTCATGAAAACTCGCACAGTGGTTTCCATGCCGACTACGAAGTTGCGGATGTCAATAATGTCATGTGTCGCAGATTGACCATGATCAGCTCACTAAGACAGGCATGACGAATCTAATGCTGACTGCTGACTTGCACTCACTACTTTTGTAGATGATTTTCTCTTCATCTTCCCTTGATTCTCATTTTTGCTTGTCGCTTTTTTACATGTTCTGTTTTGTTTTTAATGGGTGTGTTTTTACCCCTCGGTCTTTTGTCTCTAAATTAACTTAAGTTTGCCAGCTAGTTTGCGATTTGGTTAGCCCGCATCTTCTGTTTTATTTCTTACATTTTTTGAACTATGCGCTCCAGTCCACACTGGCCGCTTGTGTACTTAAACAAGGTAATGGCGTAAATGCAATCTTTGATATTTAATCTTCGCGGAGTATGCTGTTCACCGCCCACGTTACCACTTTTTGTATTACAGGCGTCCTTGCCTCTCATTTAATTAATGGTACTACATATGATACCGTTGGCACTGCATATACCTGACATCCGTAAGGGTGGCTCAGATCTCACGTAAGTGAAGGTACCCATAGTAGACTCGCATTAGAAAGAAGCCATTCTAGCCCCACTCTTAGTCCTAAGGAGAACCATGTTATTCTGTCAGTTGAAAACCTACCAGGCGACGACTTTTGCGCGCCCCCATATGTCCAAGCG